AAAAAAAACACACACACACACACACAAAAACCCAAACATATTCAGCCTCTCTTGAGAATCATTGTGTCTAGAAGGTCTTCGGGAAGCTTTTGGAAGAAATGAGTTCGTCTTGAGAAGAACATTCTAGATAAGCTTTCCAATAGTCTTTCCCAAACTGTCAGGCCTGAGGTTCAGGACTTACTCATTCCTGACAGCACAGCGAATAGCTGAAGGACTGATCGGCTGATGAGGGTTTGCATCTACATACATCTCGATTTAGCAGCACACACTAAGCTAGCTGGCAAATTGCTTAAAGCCACATGGGAAATCTGCACGTTGGGCTATGTCTGGAAGATGTGGAGGAGCAAGCCAGACCTGACCGGTCAGTTAGGGAAGACACTGAATCCGAAACCCAAATATCTCAGGGGTCAATTCACAGAGAATGGGAAGAAGCCGCGTTTGTCCAATTCATGCGCAGGCGCAGAAGAAAGACGGACGCTCAAACTAAGGCGCGCCCTTCCCCCACTCTCTTTCCGGCCAACTCCCACTGCGCAGGCGCCTAGAGTGCACCAAGATGGCCGCCCCCGTGGATCTTGAGTTGAAGAAGGTAAAAGAGGGTCTTGGGCAAGCGAAAACCTTCTCTTAGGAGGTTGGAGGGACTATAGGCAAGAATTTTGAGTGAGGCCCAAGCCTTGCAGAAGGAAGGAGGGTTCAGTGGATTAGGAAATGGTTTCCCACAGTCCTAAGGCCGCAATGGGTCTCCTTAAACTGGGGTGGGGGGCTAGCGGCTCTTGCTGGGTAGGAGCCGGTTGGTCTGGGCGGGGTAAGTCTGTGAGCCTATCTCGGGCCTGCCCAGTCTTTCTGAGTTCCAGAGACATGTCGTTGCGTTTGGAGCCTTCAGGGACTCACTTTCATAGTAGCAACTATAGAGAGCATTTCAAATGGGGGTCACTCCGGACCCCTTGCCTGAGCTATGGCATCCATAATTCTGCCTCATTTGCTTTGAAAAACTCCAAGTCCAACCCTTGTTTTTAGGCCATTTATTCGGTTCTATACCTTGAAAGCTTGCAGTCTGTACAGTTTGGAAAATCAGGGATTTTAGCTACAGTGCTCATTTCAGGATTTTGACCCCCTCCTTCTTTTGAAGTACTTGTCAAAAAAAAAAAAAAAAAA